GGAGCTGGGAGTCGGGGACCCGGAACGTAGAGGGACCAGCCTGGCCCCCGGGGGCCGCCCAGAGCGCCGGGCGGGGTAAGGGTCTTCCCAGGCGGCCTGGCGGAAGGCCGGAGTCCTAAAGTGGTTCGTCGCGGCGAGCGTGCCCTCGGCGCCCGTCCGTCTTAGGTGGCTTACCTTTTAGGGGAGGGGGCCTTGGAGGTTCCGAGGAAGGCGGTTGAGGGGGCACCCCTCCCAGCGTGGGGACGGCGGGCGGGGGAGGCCGTCCCGGCACCCTGGGCTCCAGGTGGTCGTTCTCAGGGCCGGGGCCTTTGTCGTACACACCGAGCCTTCCCTCTGACTGGGAAGGTGGTAGTCATGGTCTGCGCGGGCTAGAGGCCACCGGGTTCTGGGCCACGCGCCACTCACAGCCCAGCGGGGGACCCCAGACAGGCGTCCACCTCTGATCGGAAAGGAGGCGGGTACTGCCCTTCGTGAAAGGGCGATTGTGAGGAATGATAACGAGTAACGCTGTCGAGTGTTTTCTGCGTGCTGAGAACTGTTTTGAGTGCCTTGCAGAATTAAAACCCCGTCAGGGCCGGCCCGTGGCTTAGCGGTTAACTGCGCGTGCTCCGCTTCTGGCGGCCCAGGTTCGGATCCCCGGTGCGCACCGACGCACCGCCTCTCTGGCGATGCTGGGGCCGCGTCCCACATACAGCAACTAGAGGGATGTGCAGCTATGCCATACAACTATCTACTGCGGCTTTGGGGGAAAGAAAATAAATAAAATTTTAAAAAAAAAAGCGCCTGTCAGCTAAGAGACATAGAGAACTTAAGAGATTTACTCACGGTCATGGCTGGCAGGCAATAGAGCCAGAATCCAAATCCTGTGCTGTGTCTGGGAATTAGAAAGTTCCATAAAAGGCCTGCACAGTGTCTGGCACGTGGAGGAGCTCCGACCAGTATTTTAATAGCTTTTATTCCAGTGGATACCCTATTCTAGATACTGGGAGAATATAAACTTAATAGAAAACAGTTGCTACTTGCAGAAGCCAACTGTCTAGCTAAAAAGACAAATATCACATTCCTACAATAAACAAAACTATCAAAGAAGATTGAAATGCAATTCATATGTCAGTGCTAATTAACGATTTTTAGATCTAGGGAAGACCATAAAAGTTAAAGTCATTGATCAGTGCTGGATAAACAGTTGTTTGGTTATCCCTATCTATATTTGTTGGATAAATGATTGAGTTCAGACGAAGAAGTAAGACTTGGGAGACGAATATTGAAGAAAATCGTGAAGGTGGAAAAGAAAGAAGGGTGTTCTGGGAACAGTGACTAGAACTTGGAGCTGTTGGAAGACTCCCAGGACTGCAGAAGATCAAGTGCCATGAAGCCATGGAGGGGAAGGATGTACATAGTCAAAGAAAGTTTGTCATAAATGTTTTCCAAGTCACTTCTCTTCCAATTTTCCTTTCCAGTAGTGCATAAAAGAGATTAAGTTAAACTGGTAGAGTGGCGAGAGGGATGAAGTGCTTGTCAGGAAATACAAGTTCTAGTTTTGACTCTAGTTTATAGCTTTAAGCAAATTACAATCTCCCTGCATCTTAAGTTTGTTTTTTTCAGCAAAGATTTATGAACACCTACCTAGAGTGTGACAGATACTTTGTAGGGCATTAGGGGAGATACAAAGCTGTATTAAACATGGCTCTTGTACTAAAAGAACCTGCTGATTATTAAGCTATATTTACAAGTAATTTGGAAGGTGAATTTTAAAATACATGAGTTCTTGGTTTTACTCTTAGGAAACTTAAAAGTTTCCTTACAAGTTTTTCTTGTGGATTGGCAGGTAAATTCTACACATCCAACAACAAGGCACATTCATCTGCAATTCTATTTCAATAATTATTACTTAATGTAAGGAGCCCTTTAAAAACCTGAGAGAAGACATCTAAAAGCACTTCACTAGTAGGTTGTTTAGCTTGTTCTCATCACTTAGCATGACAGTTCACTTTTTAATACTTCATGTGAAATTGGGAAATTGTGAGGGCATCCTGTTTTGAGTGCTCATTCATGAATAAGTCCTTAAAAACATTTAGTGTATGATAGTGGTTCATATTTAAGATCCATGCCCCTGTGACCTTTGGTAATAGCATCAGGGAGCGTTTTGTACACGGCAAACGGCAAAACGCGCACAGCACTTGGAGTGAAACTCCTTGTGTGTGAATTCTGGCACCACTGCTAACTGGCTGTGATCTCGAGTAAGTTTCTTAACTTTCATCTTCAGTTTCTACATTTGTGCAGTGGGATGATAATAGTAGTTTTCAGGGTATTTTCGTATTCATTATTTGATGTGATTCTCACAAGGATTTCTCTCACTTTACAGATAAAACTGAAGGCTCAGCAATAGTAAAAGGCTTGCTTAAGATCCTTCATCTAAATTTTCTTAGAGCCCAGACTTGCACTCCTGGCTTGGTTTGTTGCGTTTTGGTTCTCTATAGTTCCGTTGTTCATCTATTTTGCCTTTCTTTTGCTGATTAATTTTAAATCCTTTCCATCTAAATCTTATGAATATGCTCCCTATTGGCAGGGAAAATTACTGTATAAGTAAAACAGTTTAACTCAAAACATTATTAAGTCAAGTCTTTAATCTTTTGTATCTTGAATGCTTGAAATCTATGATTAACTAGATATTTCCCTTATAAAGGATCTATCCTTATAAATTAAAAGTCCAATATACCTTCCTTCAGATGAGAAGAGATTTAAAAAGTATATTTAACTTATTATATCTTTGTTTTCTTCTTGATGCTGATTCTTTTTCATTTTTGTCATTTGTTATAGAACCTCTAAAATGCAGGCCTCCAGCTCTAGGTCTGTGCACCTGAGTGAATGGCAGAAGAACTACTTTGTAATTACGTCTGACATATGTACATCAGGACAGAAGGCGGATGCATACCGAGCACAGATATTACGCATTCAGTATGCATGGGCAAACTCCGAGATCTCCCAGGTCTGTGCTACCAAACTGTTCAAAAAGTATGCAGAGAAATATTCTGCAATTATTGATTCTGACAATGTTGAATCTGGTTTGAATAACTATGCAGAAAACATTTTAACTTTGGTCAGGTCTCAGCAAACTGACAGTGATAAGTGGCAGTCTGGATTGTCAATAAATAATGTTTTCAAAATGAGTAATGTACAGGAGATGATGAAAGCTGGCAAAAAATTCAAAGACTCTCTTTTGGCACCTGCTGATACATCAGTAGTAATCCATAAGGAGGCCGTTGTCCTTGATCTTCCTAAATTTAGTGTTTGTGGTGATTCTGGGGAGAGTGACGCATTAACTAAGTCAGCTGGTGGTACAGTTAGGACCCAAGACATCCCAGAGAGCAGTCCTTCTTTGAAGTGCCCTCAGAATGCCCAGCCACCTATGGTGACTAACACCACCAAGATGTGTCCTGCATTTTCAGTGCCTTTTGGTGAATCAGCCACTGCAAAATTCCATGCCACACCATTATTTGGAAATGTCAAAAAGGAAAATAACAGCACTCCAAAAGCCAGCATAGGACTAAATATGTTCTCATCTAATCAGTCTTGTTTTCCTTCTGGCTGTGAAAATCCATGGGAACGGAAAGCTTTTTATGGTTCTGGCACCATTGATGTACTTTCCACCCCAGTACTGAGTAAGGCTCTTACTAAAACAGAAGATAATGGCCAAAAGGAGGAAAGCAGCCTGCCTACTTTTAAAACTGCAAAAGAACAATTATGGGTAGATCAGCAAAAAAAGCACCACCCACCCCAGCGTTCATCAGGGTCTTCATATGGTGGTGTAAAAAAGTCTCTGGGAGCTAGTAGATCCCGAGGAATCTTTGGGAAGTTTGTTCCTCCTATACCTAAGCAAGATGGGGGAGGTCTGAATGGGGGAATGCAATATAAGCCTTATGGTGCAGGACCTACAGAACCAGCACATCCAGTTGATGAGCGTCTGAAGAACTTGGAGCCAAAGATGATTGAGCTCATTATGAATGAGATTATGGATCATGGACCTCCAGTAAATTGGGAAGATATCGCAGGAGTAGAATTTGCCAAAGCTACAATAAAGGAGATAGTTGTGTGGCCCATGATGAGGCCAGACATCTTTACTGGTTTACGAGGACCCCCTAAAGGAATTCTGCTCTTTGGTCCTCCTGGAACTGGTAAAACTCTAATTGGCAAGTGCATTGCTAGTCAGTCTGGGGCAACGTTCTTTAGTATCTCTGCTTCCTCCTTGACTTCTAAATGGGTGGGTGAGGGGGAGAAAATGGTCCGTGCATTGTTTGCTGTTGCAAGGTGTCAGCAACCGGCTGTGATATTTATTGATGAAATTGATTCCCTGTTATCTCAACGGGGAGATGGTGAGCATGAATCTTCTAGGAGGATAAAAACTGAATTTCTAGTTCAATTAGATGGAGCAACCACATCTTCTGAAGATCGTATTCTGGTGGTGGGTGCAACTAATCGGCCACAAGAAATTGATGAGGCTGCTCGGAGAAGGTTGGTAAAAAGGCTTTATATTCCCCTCCCAGAAGCCTCGGCCAGGAAACAGATAGTAACTAATCTGATGTCCAAGGAGCAGTGTTGCCTCAGTGAAGAGGAAATTGAACTGGTTGTACAGCAGTCTGATGGATTCTCTGGAGCAGACATGACACAGCTTTGCAGAGAAGCTTCTCTTGGTCCTATTCGCAGTTTACAGACTGCTGACATCGCCACAATTACACCAGATCAAGTTCGACCGATAGCTTATGTTGATTTTGAAAATGCTTTGAGAACTGTGCGACCTAGCGTGTCTCCAAAAGATTTAGAGCTTTATGAAAACTGGAACAGAACTTTTGGTTGTGGAAAGTAAATGGGACACTTGAAATTAAAAGATGGCATCTTTGTAGTACACTCTTCCATTTTTTAGCATAGGAAATTAGGAATTTATTAATTGTACTTTTAGTGTATATTCTCAATTCTGTACCTTAAGTAGAATAACAATAGCTCAAGTTTGACGATTGACCTAGCCTATGTTAATATGAGCTTTATTTTTCTTCCAGTTATTACCTGATGTGTAAGCCGATTCATACAAAATGAGAATGAACTTTTTATGTTACTAAGAGGTCTTTCTTTTGAAGATATATGATATGATGAATAGTGAGCTCAAATTGAAACTTTTTTTAACTCTAATTTGTATATGAGGATGTATCTGATTTATATTCATCTTTTAGTGAAGAAAGTGTCTTCTGAAGACCACATGATTCTTAGTGTTGGCTAGTATAATAGTTTGCATTTGAAATAAAACATTGCTTACCATTGTTTTTAGATAGACTTAAGATCTCACCGAAAGCTGGAGTCAAAGTGCTAGTTTTTACTTTCTTCTGGTTTGTGACCTCTTACAGTTTTTTTTTTCCTTACCAGAACTAACTTGAATAAAAACATGTTCAGAAATAGCAAGGTGTAATCTAATATCAGAGACATATCCACAGAACTGAAAGGTGAAGAATGTTGTACTTTTCCAGGCGGTATATGATGTTTAAAATTAGTGTTTTATTTGACTCTACTTCACAGCCTATAGTATTGCTGTCTTTCAAAAATAAATGTTATAAAATTTTTATATTGGACTGTTCTGTTTTATGAATAATACGTGTTCATTGTAGAAACAGTAGAAAATAGAGAAGAACAGAAAGAAGAAAATAAAAATCGCTGTTATCCTACCGCTTTTGGGAACACAACATTTGAGTATTGATTCTTCCAGATGTTTTGTACAGGAGTGGATTGTATTATGTGTCCCTTTTGTAGCCTGCTTTTTCCTTTAAAGTATCATCATTATGTCCCATGTTAACAAACTTCAACATCTTCTCTTGTGTGACTGCCTAGAGTTCCATTGGATGCATGGACTAATTTAGTCAGTCCTCTTTTAGATGGCATTTAGGGCAGGACATTTGGTTGTTTACTTTTTGTTTATTGTAAACAAATATGTTGAGTGCCTTAGTGATCTTTTAAAATATATATATACACACACACATTTCTTGTGTAAAATTCTTGGATTAAAGATCAGGCACACTTTTAAGGCTGGGGGGTATGTTGTAATTTGTCTGGAGAAGCCGTGCCTGTGTAGAATTCCCACCTGTGCTGAATACAAGCTCCTGTTTACCCGTGCCATGCCACCACTGGGCGTTATGCAGTTTTTGTTAGCATTCTTTTTGCATTCATTCATTCAAAAAATATTTATCAGATGCCAAATAATGTTCCAGGTGCTGAAAGTAGAGCAATGAACAACACAGACAAACAGCCTTGGTCTCATGTAGGTTACATTCAAGTGCTAACGTTTTCTCTTGAAAACAGTGCATCTTTGTAAAAAATGAAGTTTGAAACATAGTACGCTTAATAATTTAATGGGTTTAATAATTTAGATAGTTTATATACTTTAATTTTTATTCTTGGTCTGCCTTCTATTTTTATGCTCTTAAAAAGCTTTATTTTTGCAAATTTTAATTTTTCCCTTTGAAATATGTAACTGTCTTTTGTTAGAATTTGGATATTAAACTTCTTTAGTTTTTAATTATATCTTTTAAAATCTTAAAGCATTTCACAATATTTATTACTGTCTTTGTACCTTTTCATTTCTATATAAACAACACTATAACCTTGAAGTCTTGGGTATTGATGTCAAGGAATTCTCTGCAGTTTTTCTTCCCTGATGTTTATTTATTCTCTTCACAGATCACCTCGTCCCCTTGGATCTTACAATTATTCTAGCTATTTAGATTTATTAGCAGTCATCCAGTGAGTGTTAGTGGTTTGTTTACATCTGTAACTTAACATTTGTTATCAGTTTTTCTCAACAGCAACTACTGCCAGTCCTGACTTTCACTCCACTGATCATCAACCATGGGGCCACTTTCCCCTGTAGAACTTAGTTTAGATTATGTCGAAGAGAAAAAAATCTAGTTGGCTCAGCTCATCTTGGATTAGGCAGAGCCTATGTCTCTGTTAGAATGTGAAATGGCTCCTCCTGAATTAGGGTCTGCTCTATTCAAGTGAGACTCTAAACCTGAAAGGAATAATCAAGTAGGATATTTTAAAGATGGAAAGAAAGTTTGAGCCAGGGAGTCACTTGACAGTTGTTTCTACGTTGTATCACAGAGAGACATTCTCTCAGTACTTTGTGATTTGGAGTATGTTTCTGAGGCAGTTGGGTAGGACATTTCCAGAAAACTTAGATTTGAGATTTCTTTCTTTCTCCACATTGTGAATTCTCTCTTGATTGGATATGATAATCTTGGATTAAATTCTTTCCTCCTGAGTGTTGTGTTGGTGCTGCACTGTCCTTAGCCATTGTTTCAGAGAAGTGAACACTAACCTGGTTTTTAATGTCTTTGAAAGATAATTTCCTTTATGAAAATATGCACACACATTTTACCAACATAAAATATTTGTGTATCAGTGATTAAAATTCTTGGTAGGAATACAGTAATTTATCTGAATTTTTAATATCAGGCCTTTTTAAGTGTTTCTATTATACACATAATTTTAATTTATGGTTCTTTTGATGTATGTTTGGGAAAACCTATTCCAATCTTGGGTCTTCTCTCTCCTTCTTTTGAAATTCTTATTCATTTTTTCAATTCTAAAATATTTATCAAGTCTGCTTCCACACTGACAAGTTGATAAGGTGGAGTCATAGTGTAAAGGGCTTTGGAACCAAATGGACCTGTTGGATTCTGGCTCTGTCATTTACTGGTTGTGACTATAGACTACTTAATTGTTCAGTCTCAATGCTAAAATGAGAATAGTCTATACCTATCTTGTTGGAAAGTGAGGATTAAATAGTAAAATACAGATTTAAAAGCGTGGTTCACAATTGCTAAATAATTTGGCATCTTCTTCTGTCCGTCTGCCTTGATTCTGTCTTCATTGCTTTGAAGGATCATTTTCTTTTCAACTATTTCATTTGGTTTATTCTAACTCATTTTGCTTAATATTTGTGGTATTTGTATTTCATTATAGGTAGTACACCATCTAAATTTATCTTTAGTTTCATGGAGTAAATCTAATTCAACAGAAAGAAAGATATTTTTCTCTTCTTCCAGACTTCAGAATTTTTTCATAGGTACCAGATTATTATTTTTCAGTTATTCATCCTTAAGTGTTATTTGTTGGTCTCCATAGTTATTCCCCAGTGTTTTTAAAGGACACTTTGCAGCCCAAATCCAGAGATCTAATTGAAAGAGAGGATTCTATCCAGGTCCGTGGCAAAAGGGCAGGTCAGATAAGGATACATATTTTAACTTCCTTCTCAGATTCCTGGTTCTTGACCTGAAATTTGGAGTTGGTGGTGAGCGAGCCAGGTGGAGCAGCTATTTAAAGTCTGCCCCAGCCGTCTGGTGAATGGAGGGAGGCTAATGAGAATGGATGAGATGTAGTCACCACTTTTAACTCTTGTCCTTAAATAAGACTTTTACCTTTTTCCAACACACAGTTTATGATGGAGAGAGCGTTGAGGTGGGCATTAGAAAACTGCCGATGGGGCCAGCCCCGTGGCTTAGCGGTTAAGTGCGTGCGTTCAGCTTTTGGCGGCCCGGGTTCGGATCCTGGGCGCGCACCGACGCACCGCTTCTCCGGCCATGCTGAGGCCGCGTCCCACATACAGCAACTAGAAGGATGTGCAGCTATGACATACAACTATCTACTGGGGCTTTGGGGGAAAAAATAAATAAATAAAATTATTTAAAAAAAAACTGCCGATGACTCTGATCTTGGACAGTTTGTACATACCCTCTAAGATATCTGTTTTCTTAGCTATAAAGTGAGGATGTTGTATTAGATAATGCTTAATGACACACCCAGGTTTGCTATTCTGTTGTCAATTACCAAATATTAATTTATTAACTTGACAAATGCTTACAAAGTACCAGGTGTTGGGCATTATGCTAAGTACAAAAAAATGTAATTACTTAAATGTTACCTGTTTAAGTGTTACTAATGTGGCTCATTATAGAAACCAAAAGGGAAAACAAGAAGACAGAGCTTTGGTAGGGAGTTAAGTCAGCATGATGTGCCACTGAATGTATGAATCATTTAAAAAAGGGAAAAATTAAAAAAATTAGGAAGTCCACTTAAGGTGGCATATTAGGCAGCACGCTGTAGTTAAGGACACACTTGACCTGAGGTGCTACGCAGTGGCTGGGCTCAGGGGTCTCTGCAGCCAGTAGTGTGCTGGTGACTAATGAGGCCTGCCTGGGTCTTAGAGCTCTCGGAATGCATTTCTGCTCAGCAAGTTAGAGATGACTCAGGTTAAAAATAGGCAAGTGTCAGGGTCCTTGGATATGGCCAGGGCAACATCAATGCTTAAAATGCTTCTAGGATAAATTTCATTAGCTTTTTTTCCTCCCAGAACAAATTATTAGCTCAATAATGAAAGATATAGTATGGAATTTTCCATTTAAGATAGTGGACTAAGCCACACATTACCTTTCCCGCCCACATATGCAAAATCTTCATTGAAATGGAAAGGTAACAACTAAGACTAAATCCATTGCAATGTTGGAAAAGAGGGAAAATGCCGTTTTCAAATATGACATTTTGGTGTTTCTAGAAGTTACAAGGCAAATGGCATTGGGTTGTTGGAATCCCTGAGCTGAGACCTGCAACCTAACAAAGGCCGTGGGAAGGCCGGATGAGGTTGGTTTCTCAGGGCATGGGCTCTACCATAGCTCAGGGAGCAAAGCCGGGGCAGTGGACTGGATGCTGCAAGGATTGCAGAGACTTGTGCAGAGCTCCTGCCCCACTGTGTTCACATGGAGCAGCTGGGAAGTAGAGTTCCCTAAAGCAGGGAGTGGTTTACAGTGGCTTTGCTTTTTGTGGGCTCTGTGGCCTGAAAGTGGGACAGTGTGGTAGGTAACTTCTGGTTGCCACGTTAGACAAAAGCATAAGAGTTTGATAAAGCAGAGGAAGCTTCCAACGTACTCACTCCATCTCACTTTGTAACTTGTTACCTACTTCTTCAGTTTTTAGGGGTCCACCTCCCTTCCTACAGTCTCTAAAGGGAGGTCCCACTTCTACGCCCTACCACTAATACACGCACGCGCTTGCACCGCATGCACACACTGTAGGGTCACAGAGGAGATCTTGCCCCACCATGGTTGGCGCATCCTTCCCATCCAAGGCCCTGCTGAGCTGTGTAAGAGACAATTGTTAAAGGAGCTTTCCCCACTCACCATGCTGATCAACTTGAAGTATAAATTAGTTCATGTAAAAATCCTCCAATAGATTCCCATTGAAATGAAAATAAAATCCAAATTCCTTCTTAGAGCCAAACATCATCTCCCTTCCCTCTCCTTATTTCTTACTGTGCTCCATCCCACTGGTCTTTGTTCTTTTCCAAGATGCAGCAACCTTTTCCCCATACAGGAATTGTGGGCAGAATTCTAAAGATGTTCCTCCAAGATTCCTGTCCCCTGGTTATTCAATCAAACACTAATCTAGGCACTATTGAGAAGGGACTTTGCAGAGGTAAAGACAGTTGTGGGCCTTAAGATAGGGAGGTTATCCTGGAATATGTATGCATGTCCAATCTAATTACATGAGTTCTTAAAAGCAGAGAATGATC